GTCCTCGGCTGCTCCCGGCCGGCCGGTGACGGCGGCGGCTGCTGCGCGGTCCTGCCAGCCCGGGGAGGACCGCGATCGCGCCGGCTCCACTCTCGGAAGACGGCTCTGCCTGGAAAGGGGCGCGGGGTTAGTGCCTTTCTCGGAGCGGTGACCAAGTGGCTCCTCTGCGTGTTCCCGCTCCCCGCCACCCATCTCCCCCGGAGGAGGCGTATATAGGGCAACACCAACAATACTGTTCCCTGCCACCCTCCCGAATATACCCGTTGCATCCATGACGTCCCTAATATACGGGAGAAGACGGGTGGGGGTGGGGAGGACTTCCCTCCAGTCTTTCGCCCTTATGTTCAATGTCATTACGATGTTTGGCTAGAACAAAATGGAAATACTTGGTCTTATGTGTCCATGGCTGTTTCTTCGGTCTCCCGCTGCTTGCCAGACCCAGAGCCCCTTTGGTCTATATTTAGCTGTTTCAGAGGAAGCATTTGCAGCTCGATTCACAGGTTTCGGGGGCTTCTGCGTCCTGACAATAGAGAGCGAGGCTCCGGCAAGCGCCGTCTGAAACCCAGGTTCGGAACGCTGTGCATGTGGGTGGGAGGTGGCTAGGCGATATTTGGGTGATCGGTAATTAATGGCCGAAAGCAGAGCTGCTTTTCTTTTTCGCCGACCTTCCTCTCATTCTGTTGTGTACTGTGTTTCTGTCGATTGCTGCTCAGCTGGTTCCAACCACTGCGTCCCGAATTAAGTCGCTAGAGAGGTGGTGCAGCCTCCCTGGTCTGTGTGGTAGGAAAACAGTCTGAGAGGTTTTGGGATGTGTGTATGTCTGTGTGTGTGGTTCCCACCACGAACAGTTACTTATAAAAATGCCTAAAGTTGTGTTTCCCTGCGAATGTTGGGGTAGTGAAGGGTGTGGAAAAAAAGATGGGCAGGTTGTGGTTCCAAGATGTTTATTTTCCCCTTGCGTGCTTCTCTTGAACTGATCTGATTTGCTTTGGCTCTGAAGGTGTTTTTAAGCATGCATGCCTAATGCTACCAAGCAAATACGTTAGTTTCGAAAAGGGATATGTTACAACCATAGTGTCAGGTCTGATATGTATATATGTTCACTTTTAGGAACTAGGTGACCGATATTTAAGATGCTTGGAATTTTCTGCAACGTCTTCTATGAAAATAAGGAGGTGCTGAAACTACTTAAGAGTTATCTCATTGTGCATCTTTCCATCTGCAGCTTTAAATTACCATGGCTACTGATGGTAGTTTAGTTCACCTCTTTGCTGTTAGTAGTTCACCTGCAGGATTAAAAGGCTTTAGAGCTGTACCACTTTAAAAATCTCACGGAAGAGTGTTTGATATGACTCATACCGAATTACAGGGCTGAACCTGTGCCTCATTTGGGGCGCTTGCTCTATGAGAAGTATGACAGATAGGGGTGGGCATCCTCAACTATAGACTCAATGCTTTAAAGCTCCGTGAAATCTCTTTGCCACATGCAGAATCCATTTTTAATGTTTTGGGGATCGATGGCATCCTCACTGATTGGTGGGTTACACGATCTCAGGGATTGAATGAAGATGATTGCATCTGGAGTTAGATGTTGAAATTTGGGAAGCCTGTAATTATACAGCTAACAAGGCTCAGCGTCGCAGAAGGACTAGCAAGGTCTATATGGCTCGAGTTAATTGAAGATTGTGATTAGTTTTACCAATGTTGCTTTAGTTTCATCTTATTCATATTCAGAGAACTTTCCAAGAGCACTCTGAACACACTCTTGTGCTTGTTGCATTGTTTTAATATCAGATTTCTTGCAGAAAGAAGCAATAGGTGACGTACACATTCATTTCTCTTTTCAATTTTCCTTTTGAATTTAGTGTTTCAGTTTTAAACATGATTCTTAGAGGACTAGTAGAGATTACTCTGTGCCTATGTGTGCACACGGAGAGCAGCTGATGGGCGTGGGAAAAACTACATGTATCGGATGTGTGAGTTTTATGTTATATTGCAGGTTGAAAATGATAGTTGATTGAACGGCAATTGTAGTGAGTACAGGAGGTCGTTGCCCTAGTAAAATTGTCAGTCTTGTGGAAAGGAGTTATTTGGTGTATGTTTGTGTCGTTGTAGAACCTAATCATTAGAGATGTCACTAATGTTTTCGTTGTTCGCAATAATACCCATGCACTGTCAAATTACAGTAATTCCAGCAAATTCACATCTTTCACAATTAGAATACAAGCCACTACTTTCTTCCACTGAAATAGTTCATCAGAGAGAAAAATGGAATTCAGATGATATTAGTTGAAAATGTGATCTATAATTTTGTTAAATAACTTCTAAGGATGATATCACGTTCATAGTGACCTTTAAAATTAAAATGAAGTTATAATATTATCAAATATAACATTACTTTTGACATGTAAGTGAATACGCAGTACTTTTCCTGACAGTGTTTTGGAACTTGACAGTTTCTATTGTGCTTTTTCAAAGTTCTGTTTTATATGGTATGCATTTATGTAGAATTGTTGAAGAGTTCTCCAGAGTAATTTCATCAGGTTGTCTTTATGTAAGAAAATACTAAAGTTACATTTAAAATAATTTATTGTAATTTGTCCATAAAGTGAGGGATAGTTTGTATGGACAGGTATTTCTGGTTGCAACAAGTCAGTTGAACTAAAATAGGAACTGTTGCCATTTTGAACTGCCAAAAGTGTTCTTTTTTTTTCTTTCTTTCTTTTTCTGATGATTATCCCCAGAAGATATGAATGCCCATTAATGGTTATTTCTCTGTGTGAACTTTAATTTATTTATTGGGGAATTGGTTATGCTAGGATTACTATTCCTAAAAGTTTTTATTTTTTTATAAAGATTTTTATCTTTAAAAGATGCCACGTAGTTGAGAGTACCTAAACTTGAACACACATAATTCAGAGGGTGAACAAATAATCAAGAGAAGACCAGCAGGTGTTTTTAAATCCAGTACTTCCGTTGAAGGCATAGTACAGTGGGTCTTTGCTGGGCTGAAATACACCTTCAAGCCAAATTCTTCAGTTGGCTTCCATGATGGTTTTCATGACTCATATTCCAAAGGAGTTCTCAGGACTATGGTACTTGGATGGCTTTGTAATAAGTGTCACATGGATAGGGATGAAAAGTTAATTTGAGCAAGAGAATAGTTCATGATACTTGTTGCTGGCTTTAGTTTATCTGATAATATGCCAAAGCAACAGGTTTTTATATTAATGTAAAATTTCTATCACATTCTGTGCCAGTCTAGCCTACTGATTAATAAACTGCCTGGTTAGCTTTAATGAATCCAGTTATATTCACAAACAGTACCTCCAGCCCAGGAATCTCACAGAAATATTTTACCATACTGTGCTTTTAGTCGATGAAAAATGTTAAGACTCATTACAGAAATGTGTAGTTATGACACGTCCACTTGTTTATCTTTTGATCACGTAGCAGCTGAGTGTAATTTGAAGTTCTGTATCATGGTTAATTGCTTTGTAGGAAATGTCTTAGCTATATTAGGCTATGGAAGTTACACTGTATCAATTAGTTTTTGACATACTGCAAATAATGACTAAGTGAAACAATGCTTCCTAGAAGCTTTCCATCTTAGGCAAATATTCACCTGTGTCCCTTGGTGAGATTCCTGAAAAGTTATCTGTGAAATGAATTACATGTATTGAAACTTATTATTCCATTAATTGTTATTTCAGGTGAGAAATATATTTCTAGAGAAAAAGTTGGGCTTTGCCCTATAACATATATATGTCATATTTTTACTATTTAACATACTTATATATAATATTAGAATATATATATATCATAGTGTAATGCTATTTTGGATTCTGCTTCGAGTAAGTGGAGAGGTGAGAGAGTACCGGCTTTGGATGGACCCCAGCTCTGTCTATACTGAGCTGTGTGTCCTTGGCCATTTATGTGATCCTCAATTTTTAGCTTGGTTTTTACAGATGTAAAATGGGTATGATAAATAAATGTATACATTCAATAAATAAATAAACAAACAAAATGAACGAGTCATGGCGATGAAATGTACAACATGGGGAATATAGTCAATAATAATGTATAATAGATTTGTATGTCTTATTTTTAAAAATGAGTACAGTAACACAGGATCTCAAAGAGTTTTAGGGTAAAGTAAGTGCATAAGTAGCTTGTAATTATAAATATTTGTACAAGAGGTGGATATCTACATATTAGCATGAGTACTTATGCTTCATGTATGTATTAAATACGTTATAAAAGCCATGACCCTCTCTAACAAAGGCTTTTAAATAGATATATTCTCTCCCTACTACTATTGATATTATTACTGTGTTATGTAGATTTACATATAAAATATGTTTTCTGCTCTTCAACATGCCAGTCCTTCACATATGAAAATATATAATAGTTAAGCTAAAAGAGAAGCAAATTATATCTCCTGGCACGATTATTTAAAAAGATTCTAATCTAACAGTCAGAAATTGCAAAATTTTGATATTTTCTATTAGCGTTATACTGTTCACCTGATTACAGTCAAATTTTCTACAAAGATGAACAGTGTACAAAGAATATTATAGACAGTTTAATAAACATCCCTCTCCACGAGGTCAAATGTTAAACATCCGCTCTGTTTAGAACCACAGAGCATGAATCCCATCATAAAATCATTGTGACAAAGAAAAAAAGAAACTTAAACAGCTAAATTTATTGCATAAGGAGAAGACACACCCCACCCATAATTACAATCAAGTTTTTTGGGAAAAAAAAAAGTGTGAGTCCATTGGTACCTTTTTGAAAATAAATGGTCATTTCCACTTGTCCTTTCATTCTTAGTTGCTTCAGTGAAATGCTGAACCCCTCTGGGTTTGATTCTGCCCAGCT